CACAATACACATATATATAGCCGCCTACAAACCCTAAGCCTGCGGAAGATTGTAATTAACCTAATTAACTGGATGGCTAATTACAATCTAATACCCAAACTTCTAACTGTGACTGAAAGTCGTGTCTTGTTTTTGTTTCGATTCTCAACTTTAAAACGTCGTTAGTATTTAACCTAGCCACCAATTAATGTAATCTTGTTTGCAGGTACCAAAACTGCTTTGCGAGGAGGGCTCGACTAAAAGTTCTTGGATCACAAAAGCGAAATTATGACTGCGGCCTCTTTTAACCAGCAACATATATGTGTACGAATAAACAATGGTGTATATTTTGGTTTAGTCCCGCCGGCCGGCAAGGTGACCCACCTGCAGCATTGTCCGCATTCTAGTAGCCGTCGTCATCCACCGCATTTGGCCGCCGAACCGGACAACACGTGTATAGACAAAACCCACCGCCCCACAACAACAAATAAAGACAATATTCTTTGACAAAACAAATTGTAATAATTAATTAATAACACTTTTTTTCTTGTTTTTAATTTCATTGGTGCTCCGGTTTACGCAATTTTAGTCGGGGCTACCCACTGGCCTTACAGGACAAGTGATTCAACGAAGGAGGATCTTCTGCATGTCCACTCGCCTGTTAGAGTACAAGTGCATGCGTGGTATAATTCTAAGTTAGAAATCGACCCCACATGTTGTTGTTGGATCAGTAGTGGAGAAGTGGGAGTTTAGGGAATTACCGACAAACCAACTCTCATTCCGTCTTTCCAGTTCTTCTCTCTCTTTGATTTGACCTCACATGGTAATCAAAAAGTCTGTCTTTTACCTTCTCAGGACTCAGGAGTCAGGAGTGATCTCAAGCAGCTTAAACTAAGAGCTAGATTCCCCTTCGGATTCCGAGAGACTCCCAGATGGCGAAGCAGCCACTGCGACGCTCTTGGGAAATTTGATCTACTTGTACCACTTTAATCGTTTGGTTTCTATAAAGACTCTTTATTTGTTGAGACCGTCACTTGAGTGGTAAGCGATATTTCAATCTAACAACGATTATTGGGAGAAATTCAATGATTCTTCTTTTGTATCATTCACGTGTATATATACATTAATTGGACTAAAATCCGTAATCCCCAAGTTGAAATTTGAGCATGTCAATAACCAACATATCAATAACGTTTAGGGCTAACTTTTCGTATTTATTATTTTTTAGGGAGCCACAAAGAGGTGAATTTATCAGGGTGTAAAATATCAAGTTAAGCGCATCATGCATGGATTTGTCTACAATTGTCACAGACACAAAAGGTAAAAGCTATTTTATTATTTTTGGCCCGACTTAGTGCATTGGCATAACTATATATTCAACATTAGGAAGGATTAAAAAATACAGTCGTTGCGGTGAATCCGTATAAAAACACGGCATATATAATCAACTTGCTTGTTTGGTGATGCAGATCTTTCAACAACTGAATCATGTACGTTTAATTTATGTTCGTCCATATTTGTTTTCCAGCTTCATGCTTATATTTTCATCAATATATTTTCCACTTATAAAAAAAAATGGCGTTCCCCTTTTCAATGAACGGCTGTAGAATTCCTGGAATAAATTATACAGACAGGAATCTTCAACCCCCATAATGCATCTAATATTTAATAATATATTGAGATGATGTGAAGATTCATTATGATTTATGAGTAGAGTACTGATTTGGTAATGTATCTAACATCTTGTGCATTTAGTTGGTTCTCTTTTCTTCAAAAATTTGGGGGAAAACATTTAGGGGATATTGTTTTTTTTTTAACAGTATTTAGGAGATATTGTGATATAACATGTCGTAGGAGTTAAATCACATCGTGCTTTGGAACGGTTGACAAAGTTAATTTTTTGTTGAAATTGGTAGAGTCGTTCAATTTTTAGTTTTTCATTACAATTTTAAAATGTAAATCGTTCACTACGACAAAAGTCCATGTAGTTGTCGTTTTTGTTTTAACGTGACTACTTTGCAAGCTCAGTTTGTAGGAGGCTCTGCGACCGAATATGCTTACCAATAAATTCTTGATATTTTTATAGCCACCCATATTTTTTTATTAAGATAGCATGCCATTAGATAGAAATTTCTAATTTATATTTTTCATTGTTGCATTTTAATATACAATACAAAAGTTAGAATCTTTAAATCATCTAAAATCTAATATACTTCAAATTCCGAATAGACCCCTAAATAAGGAAAAAATCCCACTGTACACATGTTTTAAAAAAAAAATTCTCAGAATACACATGTTATGAAAAAAATTCCCAATCTACGCATGTTTGGGCCTTCACCGCGTCTGACTAAGGCGGTGATTGCTTCACCGCGTTAAAGAAGAGCGGTGAGTGCATCACCGCGTTAGAGAAACACGGTGATTGCATCACCGCTGTAGAGGAAGGCGGTGATTGCATCACCGTGTTAGAGGAAAACGGTGAATGCCTGACCTGCGTCAAATCTTTAAAAAACGTAATTTTGTGCTCGGTTATCCGATCGTGATGAAATTTTTTTTGATTCCGCATAATTTTTCGAGATCTTGCAAGCCGCAAACCGCCGTTGGTCCCCCCTTCGTCCCGAAAAAACGTCGTTTGCTACCCCGAACGAGCCTTTTTTCGATTTCGTCAAACTTTGAACGATCATAACTTTGTGCTCCACAATCCGAAAATCATGAATTTTTTTTTGATTTTGCATAACTTTTTGAGGACTACAATTTTTAGTAGGAGAGAATTTTCAAAAAATGAATTATTTTGGATATACGGGCCGTTTGCGCGGTTTGTGTTTTTTTAATGGTTTGAATTTTTTTTAATGGTTTGTGTTTTTTTTAACGTTTTGTTGCTTTGTTTTTGCAGTTCCTAGGCTTATGGATCCTTATTCGATGAGATTACCGTCGGCGACAATTGATCCAGGTCCGGTCGATGCGACACTTCTTTGGGGACATGGCCAACATCGTATTGACTCTGTTTGGACAAACGAGGTAAGTATTTGATAATTATTCATGTAAAGTTAATTAGCTAATTAGATTATTTTAGTTGGTGAACTGAACTGTACTGTTAGAATTAATTAGTATAATTTGATATTAGATTAGATAGATTAGAATTAATTAGGTGAAATTAGAATTATTACGAATGAAGATGAATTAATATAAGTTTTGTGCACTATAGGCTGGTGATCGATCTTACCATGTTCGAGGTACGACCATTTTAGTACCTTACCGTGAGCTTTATCAGCCATATCTCGAAGCGGCAGGCTTGTTAAGTGTCGTGCCCCTAGTCCCTATGAACCCCGATGCGAGTTTGATTACTGCGCTCGTAGAGCGGTGGCGACCCGAGACGTCGACCTTCCATCTACCGTGTGGTGAGATCACGATCACGTTAGAGGACGTTGTTACACTGTCCAGTTTGGCGATCGACGTTGATGCCGTCGTAGTTGATATACCGGATGAGGAGTGGTCGGCGATCTGTTTGAGACTGTTAGGACGGGTTCCGGTTGATCTTGTAGGCGGGGTCGCTGTTGTTAGGATTGTTTGGCTGAGGGTTGAATTCAGTCATCTGCCGGAAGATGCATCACAGGAGGTTATAGAGCAGTTTGCACGAGCTTATGCTCTATCTCTGATTGGAGGTGTACTTTTACCGGATCGGTCTGGATCTACGGTGCACCTACAGTACCTACTTCTGATTGAGGATTGGGAGAGGGCTGGAGGGTTCGCCTGGGGAGCTGCTATTTTATCCTACCTGTACCGTGAGATGGGTAGGTCGACTTTGCACATTACGCATACCGGCACTTCTCTAGCCGGTGACCTTGGTGGATGGGTCGCCCTACTGCAGTTCTGGGCGTGGGAGCGATTCCCACATCTGGCACCTCGAGATTCAGAGACGAGATCACAGGCCACCGAGGATGCACATCCACGTGGTCTTCGATGGCTTTCGGCCAGCAGTCGTCAGTATGGTGACCAGCTATTCCAGTACAAGCCATAGTAAAGGAAACCGTGCCGTACCGGCCGGTTGGACCGGTAAAACCGAAAACCGAAGCCTGGCCGGAACGGTACAGATACAACTCCTTAAATTTCGTACCGAACGGTTTTTGCGGTTGAACCATCAAACCGTCAAATACCGGCCGGTTATGGTCGAACCGTTCACCTATAATTAAATCATTCCATCGCGTTGATATCTGGTCCTGGAGAAGAGAAGTAGACCTGAGATCAAGACAGGGTTGATCTACGCAGCAGAGATCTGTAATTTAGAGAGAATCAACTACTCCGATCTGGTTCCATAGGGGATCTGGTGAGAGGGGGAGAAGAAGAAGTTGGTGTCGGGGAGGTTCGTTAGATCCAACGACGGCTGCGTTGTGGAGGGGATTGGAAGAACGAGGTTTAAGGAGATTTGGAGCAGGGGCTCGACGATGGAGTTTGTTTTGTTAGTCTAGGAGATTTCTTTTTCTTTCATTCAATGATTTGTTTTTTGGGAGGAGAATGGTAGAAAGAGATGACATGGGGATGAGGAGAGGATTGAGAAAAGTGACGACTGCTAGGGTTAGGAGTTAGGACCTTAATAGTGGGTTTAATGTCATTTTCTGAAATCACTCTTTTGGCCTCGTCCCCTTCAAAAAATAATTGCTCGTGCCACCTTCCTTTCTCCCCTGCAAAACCAAACTAAAATTATTTCCTTTGGAATTGAACCATTGAGCTCCTAAGCGTTATAAATTGTAATTCGCGCTAACCAATTTAGTTGTTCAACTGCTACTTTTAATTTTCTAGGTTTATTACATATTTTATCTATCACTATTTGATATTTTACAATTTGATATCCGGCAAATTCCGGTATTTTCCCGGTATATTCCGGAACGGTACTATATTTTTTACGGTCCGGTATTTTGATAAAAAAATAATTTTTTATTTATAAAACGGTATTTTATCGGTATGAAACGGTTGAATCACGGTCGTACCATTAAATACCTTACTATGGACATATCCGGTATGACTTCCGGTACGGTTTCCTTTACCATGGTACAAGCTGTGGTTTGACGCAATGGACACCGTGGTGGTTAGTATATAACATTCCATTTTATAGAATAGTTTTCATTTGTTTTATTTTTTTAGATTTAGGGATAATAACGTTAAATTTTTGCTATGTAGTGGCAACCTTACCGTGAGAGAGCACTTCATCTCAGAGGTAGTGATACAGTCTGAGACATTTCGAGCAGTAGTGCCACTTATCTGCTTTTCATCAGTAATGTGGCATCATCCAGACCGCGTGCTACGACAGTTTGGCATGAGGCAGCATGAGCCTCATCAGCCACATCGTGAGAGTGAGGTTAGGTTTTTTCTTCGCCAGGCTACTCGTGGGCCATCGCGTGGGCAGCAGTTGGTACACGCCTCCAGAGAGTCGCTTGATTTTTGGAACCGTCGACACGAGTTTGTAGCGACATCTTCATACACTGATGAGGAGTTAGCCTACCACTCGAAGCATATGGAGTGGTATAGAGATGTCACCAGACGTTCCGACACACGGAGAGGAGCTGTAGCGGAGGCATTGGTTAGTTATTTGATTTGTTTGCTTAATTTGTTGTTAACTGTGTGAAATATCTGACATTTTGTTGGTGTTTTTTAGTACGACACTATCGAGCATGCTGAGGTGAGTTTGCGTGACGGTGGGAGGGCTGGAGGGCTGACCCCTGACCAGTGTGAGGACTTGGCCAACTTTATGGCATCCGGGATTGCTACTCTAGGGTTTGAGCAGCGTAGATACCCTAATCTCACAGTACCTGTACAGCCCCATTATGCGGAGCCTGTCATGACTGCCTGGCCAGAGCGTACTGATCCGACACCGGACTGGGTCGCCCCAGAGCCACAGTTCAGACAGGAGCGTAGGCCACGTAGACAGTGACGTGAGCATCCTGATGTACCTAACCAATTTCTGGTTTCAGATCGACAGCGAGCACAGCCCATCCGGCCTACATCGAGGAGCTTCCAGTTTAATCCGCTTCGGTCGCAGTTTCAGACAGATCCTTCTCGAGCTTTCAGCCGCCGCGACGCCAGCAGTTTCAGTCAGATCCGTCTTCGAGCTTTCAACCACCGCGACGGCAGCAGTTTCAGATTGAAGGTGACGACTCCACCACGCCATATTGAAAGTTGCGTTGTAGTGCGTGGTGTTTAATCGCCATCTGTGCAGCTTGTTTCGAGTGAAATATCTGCCCCTTGTAGAATTCTCCTTCAAAACTATCAACAATAGGCATTGGAATTACGCCATATGAATCAACAATTGAGTATTCTTCGTCCTCTTCATTACCCTGCAAGTATTATATGGAGGATAATTAGGCACTCCTTCCCCCTCTTCCTCCTCCTCCTCCTCCTCCTCGTCATCTTCCTCCTCTCCGTCATCACCGTCATCATAGGCATGATCGGATGGCACGCTCCATGTATCATCTTCTTCCTCTCCACCCTGATCCTCACTGAGCTCAACATGTATCTCAGCACCCAAACAATAAGGATTTTGTGCCATAAAATTCCAAAGCACATTCAAGCTATCATCATCCACAATAGACATTGCATAATGAAATAAAACACCATTCTGCCATTCTGGAAGACGGTAAGTGAAACCTGTGATCACATCACTATCTTGTACTGCTTCGTCTCTACGCCATATTCTCGGAATTAGATTCTCACAAAGATAATGATATGTGACCCTGGATGGAATCGTCATCTGAAAACTACTACCACCAACGAATTTGACGCCCAAATTATCTTCTACTTTCTCCGATTTCCATCGAACGACTAGTTCAAATCTTCTAAAATCACTACAAAAAAACAGACTCACTAATTAAAACTAAACACAATCATAATAGCATTTGAATAATATAATTACAAAAATAAATGTGTCTCTTACCTATTAGCCATTTTTGCAGCAGCAACCAGAGCTCTCTCCTTTGTTTTGGACGATTTTTTTTGTGGTGTGAAACTGAAACGAAATTGGCTGGTTTATATAGGGGGGTGGCCACCTAACTCGCTGATGTCTCAGGCGGCGCCACCTTAGTCTCGGGCGCCGCCGCCTGGGACAATTTCCTACCTAACACGCTGCTGCCTCAGGCGGTGCCGCCTGAGTCTTGGACGCCGCCGCTGTATCTTAAAATAAAACGATCCAAATGTCATCCACAGCGGCGGCGCCTGAGTCCCAGGTGTTGTCGCTATTTTTTGTCTCCAAAACACAATATCTGTGTAAATACTTCTTAATCCGCCATATTGGTGGTAAATTAAAAAAAAAACAATATTTGTGTCATTTATCCAGAAAAGAGCAACCTAAAGATATTATTGAATTCTTTTTTTTTTGTCATAGGTAACCTAAAGTTACAACGAATATAATAACCAACCGTATTAGTCGACGAAAATTTGATTTTCAGAGAAATAATTACATTATGATAAAAATAAAATAAAATATAAAAAAGAAATGGGTTTCAATTTCCTTTGTCCACTTGCTCTCGGAGAGCCCACCTCACTCCTCACCAAGGTTGTCAACCCTAACCCGGTGAGAAAAACGAGTTGTATATACCCGTCGTGTCGATTCTCTACAAAGTATCGTATTGGACGATAAACGATGTCGTTTTTTCTTTATTTTGCGAAATGTGCTTATTTTTCAAAAAAAATTCCGCTTAATCCAATCTTTGAAATTATAAGTTGCACTTTGAACATTAATGTTGTATAAGTATGAGGTGGGTGGGTTTTCACTTTATATTCGATCCAAGTACACCATGTTATTTTGGTGTAATGTTACACGTTATTACTCCTATGTTTGATGAGATTTCATATAATTTATATATGTATGAACAATATAATGAGTTATAGTCTAGGGGTGTTCAAATGGTGTGGTTACCGTGGTAACCTTTTTAATTGGTAGTATTTGGATAATTTGGTTAATTGGTTTGGTTAATTTTTTTAGCTTGTTTGGTTTAGGTGGTTTGGTAATTAAATTAGCTATGTATCTCATATATTATATAGAGATACTTAATACTTCGCATAAACACTCAAGAATAAAATGCAAGATAATTGTATTAGTTACATGTATATATGTTAAGGGTTAACTATAATTTTGGGTTGATTGTTATGTGTTATTCATTATATAAATTGCGAATTGATGCACTAACCGGGACAAATTTCTCACTTAATGATAATGTGATGGTATATTGGTTATTTTGCTTAATAGAATTTAGACTTATTTGGTAATTACCTTAGTAACCATTTGAACACCCCTATCATACATTCAGATTAAACCAGACTAAAGCGGTCGGTCCATTAACCTCAACCCACTTGCTTGACCTGGCCAACGAGCTAAATCGGGTTGACAACCTTGCTCCTCACGCTCACGGGCTAAGATCAGGTGACTAAGGGGGTCCCTTAGTCACATGACTAAGTGAATCTCAGCTTTTCCACCTCATTAATATCCAATGGCTCACATTAATCCAATCCAAAAAAGACAATATAGTAATTACATGATTATTTAATTTATTAATTAAAACAATAAATATAAAAAAATCAATTTGGCCGTTGCTACCTTCGCACTTCCGTGGTTCTCCCGGTCGGGAAACTTTCCCTCCGGCGTTGGTTTCTTTTCTGGCGTTTCCTTCTAGCCGGCGACGACTCTAATTTGCTGTCCATTCTTTAATCCTGCTGTCCATTTCTTTTGCGGCAGGAGAAATGGGGAATGGATTTTTCCAGGTGAGAGAGAGAGAGAGAGTGAGAGAGATTTTTCCGGCGATCAGAGGTGGCATTTACGGTGACAGTGCTGATTGTGATGTTTGTCGAACTATTTTTTAATGTTTATAAGTCTGGTCTGTAATGTTTATGTAAATTTAGTTTGTATTGTTTATAATTCTTGTTTGTCATGTTTGTCTATTATATTTGTAATGTTTATATTACTATTTTGTATATATTGTAATTTGTAATGATTGTTTGTCTAGTTTGTATACTTTGTATTTATTGGTTTATATTACAAGTTTACTGTTTTGTATTGCAAGTAGTGGCATTTTGTACTGTTAGTATGTTTTGTAATGTTTGTCAATTTGTTTTGTAACGTTTGTAAGTTTTGTTATTTTTGTAATGTTTGTTGGTTTCTTTTGTAATGTTTGTATGTTTTGTCGTTCTAGTTTGTATTGTTTGTATGATTTGTACTGTTTATAAGTCTATTTTGTATACTTCGTAATTTTCATAATACCCAAACTATCCGGAGCAGTAATTTAAAAGCCATTGTTATTTTTTAATCGTTGAATTGATGTTTTTAGATCTAAGAGTTGAGAGAGACTTAATCAAGTGACTAAGCACCTCCCTTAGTCACCTTATACTTCCCCACGCTCACGGTCGCCGTTTGTTAACTCTGCAATCTGCATGCTGCTGCAACTGCAAGTAGTAGAAGTAGTAGCCAACTTTAGTTTGTCTCTCGAAATTATATTTTACTGTCCAAAACCAAACCAATTAACTAGAAGGAAGTTATAGGAATATGGTGGGCCAATAGGCAATAACTGCCCTCCCTTGCTATTTGACATAGTATTAACGGATATTTCAGTACTCACATCTGTTACATATTAGGTGTATGAATATATATTACAGTAATCGATTATTTTTGTTTTCTAATATTTCCATCCTCTACAAAATGGGTTACTATTTAAACTACTTGGACGGTTAATAAATGGAGATATTAGAAAATTCTGGAAAAAATTAGTCTATTAGCGTAAAGTTCATACTAAAACAAAGTATTAACTAAAAAAATGAAAAATAATATTTCAATTAGTAAAAAAATAATATTTATTTAAAGAATAAAGGGGTAGACCCAATTATAACTTTATTGTTCTATATAAAGTCAAAAGAGCACATGTCAGCGGCGGATCTAGGGGGCCTCCCCCGGGCCACGGCTCAGCCCTCCACTGGATCCAGAGCTAGTATAGCCCTTGTAAAATTTTTATTTTAATTATTGTTCTCGGTGCTCGTCGGGTTACGGTCCAGTCCTCTCCGCCTCTTTTTTAAATGTGACCCAGTGCTCTACACTATCTTGGATCCGCCGCTGGCACATGTACGCATAAGAATTAAAGAAAAGTAAACTAGAACGGGACAGTTCAAGGCGAGATGGACAATACTCATGTACTAAGTGGAAACAGGTAGGATCACACTCACAAATATGTCATCCCTACTTGATCTGGGGAGGACAGTTCTAAAACGCCATGAACTAGATCATAATCATTCTTAACAAGTCCATAATATGTGATCCCAAGTTTTTATCGGTTCTGGGTAGAGACCAAAGGTCTAGAGAAAGGATTGGCCACAACTGTTAGTACATAATATATGATCCATAATTGAACATCTCCCAACAATTCGAGTAATTGAGGCCAATTGGTTGTTGACATGGTATCAAAGCCTTCTGTGATCGAGATGTTTTATGTTCGTATCCCCATGACCCCTATTTGTTAGCATATGGTATTTGGACATGTGAAAACTTCAAGCCCTTATAAGTAGCTTTCATTTGAGGCCCGTGTTAGTATGTGATATAAGATCAATTATTAAACATCTTCCAACAACTCGAGTCATCGGGATCGGTTCTTGACATGGTATCAAAGCCTTCTGTGGCTGAGAGATCTTATGTTCAAATCTCGTTGAGTTGGCTTTCGTTTGACGGGGCGTGTTATTACGTGATGTATGATGCACAATTGAATCTCTCTCAACAACTCGAGTAATTGGAACCAACTAGTTCTTGACAGCAACCTCCGACCTCGCATCTTAAGAGTATACTACCCCACGACTATGGTTGCTAATTTGTTTAAATGTACTTTGGGAATCCATATCTCACCAAATTCA